AAGAGACAGTGCAGACTCACATCTCACTTACGGGAGCGCTGTGGCTGGGTCGAGGGGCCTATTGGACTGTGCGAGACGTCCCCACATGATGAGCCACGCACAAAGGAGCCCTTCAGCCATTTGATGCCGAATGGTCTGCAGTGACTTCAGTCACTGCCTCGTGGAGACTTGTAAAGCTGCCGCTCTTGGTCCCTGGCCAGTTCAGCTCAGCCTCAGTCTTTGCTTCATGCTATTAATGATCCCCTAATTAGACACATCAAGGCCTGTCCTAATTAAGACTCTTTTGGTTACAAGTATCCCAAACCCACTTCAAAATAGCTTCACAGAACGAGAGGGTTTAATGGAAAGGCACTGGAGTACCTCAGAGACTGCAGGCGTCAGGAAGGGTGGGGACCGGCCATCCCATGGAGCTCAGGAAACGTTGGTCGATGGTCGCCCAAGAACTCCACCATTAGCAGAGCTTAACTTGTAACTCCCCATCACCTGTGTTCCTCCATAAAACGTTCTCCAGAGGTTAATCAGATGAGCTCAAGTTGTATCCGGTATCCATGTATGAGCTAATCAGACATGGTCCAAATTAATGGTCACATAATAAAATATATGTCTACTGTGGGCCCACCTCTGAAGAGGAGAGAGATATTCTAAGAAAAGGGGTGAATTCTGAGAAAAAAAATAACTTTTGTAAGGCTTCAGATGAATGGTACAAGAACTTAAAATTTAGTTGAGACAACAGGGCCTGGTCACCTCCATGTCCCCAGTTCCTAAGGCCTGAAGACACCACAAACCTGCCCTAGTCCCCGGTCCATCACTACCTCCCTTCTAGGCAGGGGTGGGAACGTCCGGCCCAAGCGCTGTATAAGGCCCATGAAATCAATACCAGCTAACATCATGCGCCTCACCAAATCAGCCTGACCAAATAGAGCAGGCTAACTTTTAACTTGATCATTTTGTTGGCCCAAGAATGATGTTATAAATATCTCAATGGCCCTTGGCAGAGAAAGGGTTCCCCACCCCATGTCGTACAGGCTCATGACGGCCACACCTCTGTATCCAGTCCATGTACCTCTTCTGAGTGCCAAGTCCAGTCAGTCATCTTCCTACTTCACCTCTCCACTAGGGCCTTCCAGAGAAATCTCAAATTCAACATATCCTAATGAAACTCACGATCTCAACCGTGTTAGAAGTCAGAGTAGTGGCCACCTCAGTGCAGGACAGGTACTGCCTGGGCAGGAACAAGAAGGAAATTACTGGGAGTGTTAAAAATGTTCTACATATTGATCTGAGTGGTAGTTACACACACACACACACACACACACACACACACGTGTGTGTAGGTATGTGTATGTGCGCGCATATAACTGATCTATCAAGTTGCGCACTTAGAATTTGTGTATATTACATCTCAATAAAAAATAAGTGTAAAAAAATTACTATAGATTAGTCCTTCATCTTCTGCTGGTATCTATGTAAATTGCATTTGCCAACCCAATGCAGAAAGGAGCTGGACAGAGAGTACAAAGGAATGAGGCTGATTATATTATCGTTCTCAGTTATTCACTGCCCTTCCCATAGGTGCATTATATATTCTCATCGTGGCCACATGACTTGCAGGACTTCCCTTTGGAGGAAGCAGACTTCCTTGCCCCACTGATGTCACCTCGGCCTGTGATTTGCTTTGTCCAGTAGAATGTGAGCAGAAACAACAGACACCGTGTGTGAGCAGAAGCATGAAGAGCCTGGGCCCCATGGGACCACCTTTCTGCTCCCTCTGCAGCATGAGCTGCATATTCCAGATGGGGGCTGCTCCTCCTGGCTGGAACCGGAGACCTGTAGCCACCACAGACAATGTCCTCTGAGCAGGAAACAAACTGTCAGACTCCGAGATTGTGAGGTTTTCTGAGAGCGTGAGGTTTTGAGGTTTTGCGGTTTCCTGAGCCGGCTGCTGCAAACACCAGGTGGAGGACCTAGCGTGTTAAAGAAAGCCTGCCAGTCCCCAGGGACAGCGAGCATCCTCATGTGGGAATGCCAGCTCACTCTTCACAGGCCTGCACGTTGTTCAGAAGGGACTAGATTCTTAATTAAATCCCCTCTGAACTTTTAATTAATACATACTTCCTTTTAAGTGTTGGCAAGTAAATCAATCTGTTTTTTAAAACACTTAAAACAAAATTATGGTGATCCTGAACATGTGTTTCAGTAAGAACATAAGGAAATGCCTGAAAAGGAAATGCGTCATCTGATGTGTATTTTTTTTTTTTTTTTTTCCTGTTGTCTTTTCAGGACTCATGGGTTTCCTTCTTTATGCAGATCCGCCACTAGAGGTCACTGTAGAGTTCTGCATCCACACACCCCGTGTGTAACGCTGTCTGACCTCTAATTTCGACAGAGAACTCTACAGGTTTTTTGTTGTTGGTTTTTTAATCTTTATTGTTGAATGTATTACAGATGTTCCTCATTTTTCCCCCATCGACCCCCTCCTCCCCACTCCTGCCCCCCTCCTGCCTTTCCCCACACTGTTGTCTGTGTCCATTGGTTATGCATATATGCATATAAGTTCTTTGGTTTATTTCTTCCTACCCCCAAACCCCCTTCTCTTTGAGGTTTGTCAGTCTAGCAACCAAGTTGTACTTCTTAATCCCTTCGCCTTTTTCACCCATTCCCCCAACCCCCTCCCATCTGGCAACCAACAAAATGTTCTCTATATCTATGAGAATGTTTCTGTTCTGCCTGTTCATTTTGTTTGTAGATTCAATTGTCAATAGATATGTATTCATTGCCATTTTCTTTGTTCATATTTTTTATCTTTTTATACAAGAACACTCTTCAACATTTCATATAATAATGGTTTGGTGGTGATGGACTCCTATAGCTTTTCTTTGTCTGGGAAACTCTTTATATGGCCATCGATTCTAAATGACAGCTTTGCAGGACAGAGTAATCTTGGTTGTAGGTTCTTGCTTTTCATCACTCTGAACATTTCTTGCCACTCCCTTCTGGCCTGCAAAGTTTCTTTTGAGAAATCAGCTGACAGTCTTATGAGAACTACCTTGTAGGTAACTAACTGCTTTTCTCTTACTGCTTTTAAGATTCTCTCTTTGTCTTGAACCTTTGCATTTTGATGATGATGGGTCTTGGTGTGGGCTTCTTGGGGTTCATCTTGTTTGGGATTCTTGTCTGTGCTTCCTGGTCTTGTATGTCTGTTTCCTTCACCAAGTTAGGGACGTTTTCTGCCACTATTATTTCAAATAGGTTTTTGATTTATTGTTCTCTCTCTTCTCCTTCTGGTATCCCCAAGATGCGAATGTTGGCACACTTGAAGTTGTCCCAGAGGCTCCTTACACTATCCTCATTTTTTTGGATTCTTTTTTCTTTTTGCTGCTCTGATTGGGTGTTTTTTGCTTCCTCATATTCCATATCAATGGTTTGCTTCTTGGCTTTACCTACTCTACTATTGAATCTGTGTAAATTATTCTTTATTTCAGTTAGTGCCTCCTTCATTTATGACTGTGCATCCTTCATTTCTGACTGCTCCTTTTTTATGCTCTTGAGGCCCTCACTAAGTTTGCTGAGTTTCTCACTAAGTTCATTGAGCATCCTTATAAGCAGTGTTTTGAATTCAGCATCTGTTAGATTGCTTATCTCCATTTCACTTAGTTCTTTTCCTGGGGTTTTGTTCTGTTCTTTCATTTGGGACCTGTTTCTTTGTGTCCTCATTTTGGCTGCCTCTCTGTGTTTGTTTCTATGTATTACTTAATGAGAGGTATGGGGCTCGCTGAGACCAGATGCTGCTTGTTTGAAAGAATTTAGGAAAACCTGAAGCAAGATCCAAGACAGGCCAATCCTATGGTTAAGCAACTGGCAACAGCTTGGGTGGGAAAGTTGGGCGGGGTGGGGCCTCAGGGAATCACCAGGGCGGAGCTACCAGTGTGAGCCAGGTTGCTGGAGTCCCAGGTATGGCAGCTGTCTGCCGCCCCAGGGAAGGGCTCACCAAAGGAACAAAGGCCTCTGACAGCACGTTTGTCCTGGAGAAAGCCCCCTCTCCAGCCCTCGCTCCAGTGCCAAACAGCTCAGTTCTTCCCTGTGTGTCTCTGGCGCCCCTCGAGCTGCCTCCCCTCCAAGCTTAGAGGGAGAGAGTCTGATAAGTCCGTGCGCGGGCCCTTTAAGGAGCTGCCTGGGGCTCCAGGCGCGTCAGCCTCCCTGAGCCTCAGTTCCCGCTGGTTTTCCAGCTAGAAGTGATGGGGATTCTCTTCCTGGCACTGAAACCCTGAGCGGGGCACCTGGTGTGGGACAGGGACCCCTCAGTCCTCAGGGAGGACCTTCCTAGCCGAGGTGTCCTCCTGATTTTTATCCCCACACGTGGGTGTGCGCCCAGCCCGTCCGCCTTCGCCCTCCTACCAGTCTGGATGTGGCTGCTGCTCTAATCTCGTAGTTGTAGGACTTCCATTCAGTGTGATTTCAGGCGGTTCTGAATGATGGTTGTTCTGTAGTTTAGTTGTAACTGTGATGTGGTTGTGGGAGGACGCGATACCGGGTTTACCACCCCCACCCCCCATCCTGACCAGAAGTCCCCCTACAGGTTTTGAGTCCGTGAAACCTGAAACATCTCTTATAGCAGAAATGACCAAACTAAAGCTGTCTGACTTCGGGCACATCGTGAGAAGGTAAGGTTCTTTGGAAAAGACCGTAGTGCTGGGAAATATAGAAGGCAGCTGGGAGAAAGGAAGACTGAACATGAGATGGACTGACTCCATAAAAGAAGCCATCGGCCCTGCCGGTGTGGCTCAGTGGTTGAGCGTTGACCCATGCACCAAGAGGTCATTGGTTCGATTCCCGGTCAGGGCACATGCCCAGGTTGTGGGCCCGATCCCCAGTGGGGGGCATGCAGGAGGCAGCCAGTCAATGTTCTCTCTCATCAATGTTTTCATCTCTCCCTCTTTCTTCCTCTCTCTCTAAAAATCAATAAAAGAAAAAAAAACTTTTTTTTTAAAAAAAAGAAACCATCGGCCTGAGTCTACAGGAGCTGAGCAGGCTGTTGAGGACAGGACACCATGGACATCACTCATCACAGCGTTCCCGGAGTCGGAGCCGACGACAGCATGTAACACCACCAACAATCAGGTCAGTGTGTCTGCCTGAAGGAAGCTCCAAACCCATACTCGACCCAAGGTCGGTGCTCCCTCCCCACGTTGTAAAAGCTGACGACTCCGTCCAGGTGACCAAGCGCACAGCACCCATTCCTTTCCTGTGGCCTCGTTTTCATGGAGGTGGCTGCCAAGTCACCTACCTGGTTGCCAGCACTGGTGACAGTTTACTGACTGCCCCTCAGCCTCTGTAGGGGGTTTCTGCCTGATGCTGAAAACAGACCAAGGAAGACGAGGCCTGCCGTACCAGGAAGGGGTCACGCAGGGCGACAGGTGAACCTCGCACAGGCGTGTGCTACAGGAAGCCAAGAACGATTGCTGAGGTGATTGTCTAGGAAAGCAGAGGTCACAGGAAGGAAGTGTTCTCAGAGGCCAATCACTCCAGGCTGAGGGAGGGCTGGAAGCTGGATTTTAGGCTGTTTGTTCTTTTTTCCTCCCTGGCTTAGCAAGAGACCTCCACACTGGGGTATCCTGATGCTAAGATATGACATAGGATATGTGCATGAAGATCAGACTTCACCCCCCTCCCCAAGACTGTCTAAGAGAATTTGCTTTTCTCTATATTGAAATATCCATTTGTCATTTACTGACCTGACAAATATTTATTGTCAACTGTGTCCCAAGCACTCATTGCTAGATAAGATAGCCACAGGCAGGGCATGCCCACTTAGAACTTAGAGTCCAGTGGGGACACAAAGATGATTGCAATGCAGTGTGACAAGTCCTATGATAAAGGAGAACACGGTAAAATATGAGTACAGAGCAGGGGCCTCTGATGAAGACTTACGAAGTCAGGGAAGGCTTCCTGGAGGAAGTGCTATTAAATTGAGGCCCTAAGCAGAATGGAAACAGGCCATATAAGAGGAGAATAAGCATGTTTCAAGCAGAGATAATAGCACAGAAGAAAAAACATTTTTTAAATAATCAAACAGGGTTTTATTTTTATATATGCAGGTTTGGATCTTGCTGCTTTCCATTTATCTATTTTATCCTGATTAACTTTTCTTGAAAACATGACTTTAATAGCTGCCTAATAGTCCATTGGGAGGATAGTGACTAATTTATTTACCCATTTTCAAAAGGAAATAGCATTTTTAAGGCTCATGCGAATCGCTCTCCCCTTATCAATGTAAAATTATGTGAAATCATTCTTTATTAATTAAATTAATATCCACGAAATTTCCTTCATTTGGCTGTCTGTGGAGAACAATTTCTGCAGCCCAACGGATATCCACCCACGACAATCCTGGATTTAAGCAAGGTACTGGTTTTCGAAATATTGGTTCAGTTCTACTTGTACATTTTGCTGCATCGTCGAGCATGAATTGTCAGGGCTGAGAGGGGCTCAGGGATGCTACGGCTTTGAATTCGCATCGTCCCCCAGAGTCTCTGTGTCCCTCAGTCTTAATCTCCCCAAAGTCTGCATCTCAGGCTCCCCGCTCTTAGAATGCTAGCTGATATTTATCTGCATCTTTTCCTCAGTAAAAGATTTTCTTCTCTGAAGTTGCGAACATCATTTCAAAAAATTTTTAAAACCACATTTTGGGGGTAAAAATATAAATATGATATATTTGACCACTTTCACCAACACTCTTACAGGAGGTAAGGCGATTTAGGTGGAGTATCGGATCCCTTTCTTTTGAGCTATTTCAGATCTCATTCATGTTGCTTTTGTTCTGTCTGCCTTTAAAGTTGGTCTTCTTCAGGTGGTCCTGCCCCTCACTTTAACCCACTTCACAGCAAGGCATGGGGGTTGCCTGTTTGCTTTTGGTCCAAACCTGTTGCCTGGGGTTAACTTACGCTCGCTCAGTGGGGCATGTTTTAGAGAGAAGCGCCCACTGGTGGTGCGGCCGTGTGGCAGCTCTCAGTGTGAACTCTGTTTGGAATGAGATTTCCTGTGTCTCCTGTATTCTTCCGTTGCTGTCTGACCTGCCACACGTTTGGGAGTTTTTTCAAGCCTCAGAGCACTCGAGCAGTCGCTAAAGTTCTCAAGTGAATTGATTCCCCACGTAAAAAGTCACTTCCATCCTGGCACCCAAGACTTTCCACACGACAAATGTAAAGGTCCCCAGCTCCACAACCCCCACCGCAGCCTCTGGGCCCTGACAGTCAGGCTCTCCTCTGCCCCGCTGGGCTCCTGACCGTGCAATGCCCACTTCGATTGCAATGCTACCACCTTGCAATGCCCACTTCATTATGCAAAGTAGAGTGAACATGCAGCAGCCAGTTCCTTAAAGTGAAGATTTTATCCCAACGAAGCAGATGTCCACGTATCTTTGTCGACAGGCCACCCCGGCCTATCAGCGAGGAGGCCTCGGGAAGGTGGCCTGGAAGATAACAGGGTGCAGACTGGGACTTGGCGGACTCAGTCACCTCGCCGTTTCTCTTGCACTGACGTTTGCAAGGCAGCTCATGAGCTCAAGATGTACAAAGAACTAATGATCGGATTGCTATTGTCAGGTAAGTGGAATTTTTTGAGCCTAATGCTGTTATGTTGGATGTGACATTATAGATGAAAGTGTAAACTATCCCACGTTAGTTCTGTCTTATTTAAATGAACAAATTAATGAGTACGATCTCAGAGCCCAGTCTGCTGCAGGGATATTATTGACACTCAGCTGTGGACGTGGGGGTGGCCCGCGGGGCCAGGGACTGTGGTCGGATCACAGCTTCCCGGGGTGAGGCGCGGGCTTCCATTCGAAGCCTCGCTAGAGTGCAAAGAATGCTGTCAAATAGCGGGAACTCTCTCCGTGCGGAGAAATGCGTTGCTCTGTTTGTGTTTTAATGAGCTAAACTTCTGGATGAAAGAATCATTAATAAGCATGATGAGGGATACACAGGCCTCAATTTTTAAAAGTTTTCCCAAAAAAGTATAGTTTCCTCCTCCTCCTCCCGTCAGAAAGGTACAGGCCGCAAGCGTGAACTCTGAACTGTGGCGCTCACTTCTCTCTGCGGGTCCACGGGAAGGGGTGAGGCGGGGGAAAGGAGAGACAGCTGCCTTGGCTTAGGTGTCATGTGGTTTGGGGACACATCTCAATCAAGTCGTTAACGTAAAGAAATCATGTAAGGGCATTCTTAAGTTGTATTCAGTTTTTATTATTTGGGGCCTCTTCCCGAGAATGTCATGGTGATCACCTTCTCGAAATGCGATGTTGGTGTGTTGGAAACACCAGCGCCCGGCACCTAGATCAGGAGGGGCAGCCGTCTGAAATGTATTTAGCCCATCAGACGCTGCTCCAACTGAAGTCAGAGCAAGCGTCGGAAATTCCTGTGCGCTCCTGGGCGGCAGGGAGGAGAGCCAGCGTCGCTGAGATGCCCCGGGGTGCAGTAGTGTCCCCGTCAGAGCTCCGGCATGAGGGACAGAGGACGGGGTTCAGATCTGCTTCCACCCTCGCCCGTGAAATGCAGTCAGTGCTGGCGTCTGCGTCATAGCCATCCCACGAGGATTCAGCAAAGTAATGTGTCTACGCCGGTGCCTAACACATGCAAAGTACTAAATAAGCATTTAATGGTGGTAAGAATTATAGACTAGGGAACAAACCTGGGTATGTATTCTGAAAAGAGGAAAACAAAGACTAACAAAGCTGCTCCAGATTTTTTTAAGTAGCTAAGTATGAAAATGTTTAGCTTGGAAAAAACACATGGAGGGTATGGGGTGTGATGTTTAAACATATTCAAATATTTGTAGAGTTTTACACAGAAGAGAGAAGAGGTCTTCTTTGTGTTGTGTCCGAGGGCAGTGTCTACTCAAGCAAAGTAGACACTGCCCGTTTCTTGGGGTGGGGCACAGCACCTGAAAAACCTGTGCGCATCCTTGAGCTACCCAAAATTTGGAAAGGATTCCTGCAAGAGAAATAAATTCTTCATGTCTGCAACTGCTCGAGCAAATAGTGGACGTCTGCCTTCGATGCCCTTCACGGGGACGCAGTAGGGCAGTCTGACTCCAAAGGCGCCCTTGGCCTTCACGGCCGGGGCTCTTACTGTCTCTACCTTACCTTCTGAAGCCCTGGAAGAAAGTCTCTTGATGTAACTACTGTAAAGGATCATAGACAGGTGTGGAAACAGGGTCCCCCTCCTGACTCTTGGAAAATGTGAGGAAGGGGAAAATGTGGCTGGGGGGTAAAGAAGGGATGGTTTTTGTTTCTCCAGTAATCTTATGGCTACAGCCAATTATTTCTAACCTCAGATGTCATCTGCCACATGAAGAGTAAGTTTTTTGCAAATAATTTTATTTCCAATCATTCACTCAGTAATTCTATGTCTAGTGCCCAACACTGAAGCTAGAGCAGTAAGACAATGAGCTCCCCCAGAGGATACATTCGGGGGGAGGGCACATAGACATTAAACAGAACAACTAAACTATTAAAGTAACTGACAATAAAAAATAAGACAATTGCCCGGCTGGTGTGGCTCAGTGGCTGAGCGTCCACCCATGCACCAAGAGGTCATGGTTCGATTCCCGATCAGGGCACATGCCCAGGTTGTGGGCCAAATCCCCAGTGGGGGGCGTGCAGGAGGCGGCCAATCGATGTTCTCTCTCATTGATGTTTCTCTCTCTCCCTCTCCCTTTCTCTCTCTATAAAATCAATAAAGAAAAACAATTTTTTTTTAAATCAGACAACTAAAATCAAACCAGGTAAGGTGATAAACAACACAGAGGCTGCTTTAGAAATGTGAAGCAGGAGTTTTTTTTCCAGTAGGTAACATCTGTGCTGAGAGTTGGACAGTGAGGAAAAGCCAACCTTACAGAACCTGGGGAACAGGCGCTGAAAGGCAGAGGCAGGAGTTCTGAAACAGGAGAGGACTCCATGTGTTCAAGGAATAAGCAAAGCTTTTATGTAAAAATCAGCTTCTATCTGATCAGCGTGGCTCAGTGGATTGAGCACTGTCCCTTGGACTGAGAAGTCCCGGTTCAATTCCTGATCAAGGCATATCCCTATGTTTTGGGCTGGATCCCCGGTAGGGGGCGTGCAGGAGGCAGCTGATTGATATTTCTCTCTCACATGGATGTTTCTCTCTCTCTAAAAAATCAATTGAAAAAAATCAGCTTCTGATGCTAAGAATTCGAGAATACTGTACAGTATTAGATCACTTCAACTAGGAAATTATGTCATAAACCCGGACCCTCTAAAGGTTCCTGATTTTACTTTAAAAAATCATGCAAAATTTGCACTCTAAGTCCTAATATACTGATTTAATCGGAAAATCCCAAGGGACAGGAATTATCACACCTGTTTTCTTTGTCAGTGTAGCCCCAGAATCTAGCACAACTCTTGACCTATAGTAGGATATTGGTTGAATCAGCAAGGAAGTAAAGGGAAGGAAGAAGGGAGGAAGGAAGGGAGGGAGGAGGCAAAATGAGAAGATTGTTTTTATTTGTTTATGCAAAGTGAGAGCTTTTTGTAGGTAGACGATGATCGCCCTGTGCCTCTTATTACATACACCTGCAGGCCCACTGTGCATCTTATTATTTTTTGTTGTTTCTCACCCGAGGATATTTTTCCATTGATTTTTTTAGAGAGAGTAAAAGGGAAGAAAGGAGAGAGAGAGAGAACAACATCAATGTGAGAGAGAGACACATTGATTGGTTGCCTCCCACACAACGTTGGAGGTTGGGGATCGAACCTGCAATCCAGGTACATGCCCTCGACAGGAATTGAACCTGTGTCCCTTCAGTCTGTGGGCCAATGCTCTAACCACTGAGCCAAATGGGCCAGGGCCCACTGTGCATCTTATTACATACACCTGCAGGCCTACCATTGTGAAAAGCATGTACTTAGAATGACCTAAAGAAACAAGGCATCTCCTTTTTCTTCACTGATCCAAGAAAAGAGCCTTCTGCCCATTTAATTGTTACAGGAAAGAGTTCTGAGTTGGGTTTCAGGGACCACAAGACCACATACATTTCTTAAAATTAAAACTTGGGTCTTCGTTTCTGTATCCCACACATTGCTAGGCACACAGTAGGCACTCAGTCAATAATAGTTGCATAAATGACAAATAACCAGATTTTGCTTCGGACTGCTTTGACTGCAAAATCAATGCGCCCCTGTGGGCCTCAGTTTCATTGTGCCTATTAAATAAAGCCCAGAGTAGATGGTATCTAAAACCCCTTTCATCTCTATACTTCAATGAGTCCTCAAAGGTCAGCCTGCGATGAGCTGGAGACTGATTCTCAAATCTATAAATCTCGTTTGCTTGGTGTGAAATTGGGTTTTTAGAAAGAAATGGGCCATCCGCTGTGAATTCCTTTGAAGAAGGAACCCTAAGAGAGGGAAAAGAATGGATGGTATCTCTAAATTGATTCTAAACCGCAAAATTGAATTCAGCGTACTTGTGATCCATTTCTTCTGACTTTGGTTTCTAGAGGATTGTTGAAAATATTTATGAATCTATTGGGGAAGCACGTTTTAAGTAATTTTCCCAACTTGTTGTTGTAGGTTATATTTCTACATCAATCACCTCCAGCACACCTGTGAACGGCATTGAGACGCATGAAACAAGTGAGTTACCAACAAAAGCCAGTGGGTACTAGATTTCCAGCCATTATTCTCATATACATATATTTCATAAGTAACTATCTGTGTAGTTTTCTGTGATAAATGAACTAAACTAAAACTAAACCAAAAATACAAAAGAAAATCCCAGAGTTATCTCTGGGTTTGGGAATTGTAGGAAACGTTGGGGTTTTTTTTGTTTTCCCCCTTTCTTTATGCTTTTTAATACTTTCCACATTTTCTACAAAGAGAATCATAACTTGTAATCAGGAAACGTTTAAAATTCTCTTACAAGTGAACTGAGCAAACACAATGTCTGCTTTCTAAGAGGTCTTTTTCATTAAGCAATGCCAACACACATTAGTGAAGGAAAGCCAAGAGACCAGCGTTCATTTCCTCGGGGTTTATTCCTACTCCCACAACCTGGGTTGTGATGTATGCTGAAGCTGATTTCAGGGATCTGGTAGAGAAAAGAGCAGTAATGGATGTTGAACGTGTAATAACCCATCGTTCGTCATTATCCCATTTTCTGTTTTTCACATGGCTCCTTCCTGTTATGATACTCCTAGTCCCCAACAGCCACGCTCCAGGAGCAAAGACTATGGGGAAAGTGGCCACGTAGAGAACCTTAGGACACGGCATTCCCCGAGAGACTTCTGTCATATCGTGAGAGTCTGGCAGTGTCCAGGCCCATCCCTATCTCAGAAAAGTAAATGAATTCAAATGCATTGTGAGCCCCAGGTCATAAAACACGGCAGTTCTTCAGTGCTCTGGCGCCATGCCAAGCCCCAGTACACAGAGCAGGAGGTGGGGTCTGACCCTCCCGGCATGGAGGGCCCTGTCCCTTGCCCTTTTAGATCAGACTCCAACTCAACAGTTTGCTTTGAAGGTCCAAAGCCAAAAGTCTGGGTTTCTTTCCACCCAGGTGTGCATAAGCCTACAGACGTGTTCTTACATTTAATCAATGAATTAGGTAGAACAAGAAAAACAAACCCGCCCTGGCCGGTTCGGCTCAGCGGTTGGAGCATCGGCCTGCAGACCAGAGAGTCCCAGGTTCGGTTCCTGTTAGGGGCACATACAAACAAAACAAAAAAGACAAACAAGAAAAGAAAAACAAACCCTCTTGACTCGGGGAAGAGAAGCTTAGATCTCTGGTAGTAAGTGGGGAGGAAGTAAGTTAAGGTTTTCTGCTGAACTGCCCACCTGAAATGGAGACCTCCTCAGGGATCACATCCGTGCTCTTCGCCTTCTGTCGCCCTGACCGGTGAATCTTCCTCGACAGTTTCCATTCGGATTACGGATTCCTCACTTTACCTGTGGACCACCTGTGGCCTCAGGTACTGTGACCCGATGATGCAGACATTCCCCCAGTAATAGAAAAAAGCAGTTCTGTATTAAAAAAAAAAAACCTAAAGAGAGGGTCACAGCATGTATTCGTTTTTCACCTCTTCATTAAAGAAAAGTAAGAGTTGGATAATATTTTTTTTTTATCCTCACCTGAAGACATTTTTCCATTTTTTTGTTCAGGTAGAGTGAGAGGAACATAGAGAGAGAGAAACATCGATGTGAAGGGACACATCGAGTGGCTGCCACCCGCACGACCCAACCAGGGCCGGGGACAAACTGCAACCGAGGTACGTGCCCTTAGCGGGAACCGAACCCGGGTCTTTCCGGACCGCAGGCCGACGCTCTAACCGCCGAGCCAAACCGGCCAGGGCAAGACTTGGATAATATTAATAGTAATATCACATAGTAAAACTGTGCCTCTTGCCCTGGCCAGTTTGGCTCGGCGGTTAGAGCGTTGTCCCGCCGACCAGAGAGACCCGGGTGCAGTTCCCACTAAGGGCACGTACCTCGGTTGCAGTTTGTCCCCGGCCCTGGTTGGGTCGTGTGGGTGGCAGCCACTCGATGTGTCTCTCTCAGGTCAATGTTTCGCTCTCTCTCTCTTCCTCTCTCCCTCCCGCTCTATCTGAAAATAAATGCAAAAAAAAAAAAAAAATGTGCCTCTTGGTACAGACCTCAACATCATCTTGTCAGGCACTTCACCAGTGTCATTCCAAGATGAGTGTGTGCGAATGTGGGGAAGTGTGGGAAAGTTCATCTGCGTCCATTGATCACCCAACAGAGGTACACATCCGCCACCTGTGATTTCAAGGCAGACATTTTTCAGATCCTCTCTGTGTTTATTTTTCGCTTCCTTGATCCATCACAATTGGGAAAAGCTATTAAATTTTTCGCTGCTATTACAGTTCTGCTAATTTTTCCTTTTGCTTTATATTTCTTGTTGTTATATTATTGGGATAAACTTGTCCGTATTTTCTTAAGAGTCATTGTGTAACAAACATATCCTTTAACAATATAACTTAACCTTCTCTATCCTTTTTAATGCTTTTGCCTTTCATTCTAATTTGTTTCCTATTTGAAACTGTGATTTCTCTTTTTATATATTTTCATGTATCTAATATACCTTTGTACTTTTCTTATCACATTTTGCATCCTTTTGTTTTATTTGAGTTCCTTGTAATTTAGTATATGCCACCGGGTTTGGGTTTTGCTGTCTATTTTGACTCAATCTAAAGGTCTATGTCTTTTAATACAGAAACTTAATTTATATGCGTGTGTGAATTCTCTGCTGACATTTAGTATTTTTTTAACTTTATTCCATACTTTACTAAATGATAGCTTAGTTTCGATATATATGCTAGGTTTATTTGCCTTTATCCTCTTATATGTTTTGAAGGCATGTAGGATACTTGTATCATGCCATTCTTCACTCTACGTTTTTACTTTGGGATATCCCCTTTTTTTTTTTTTAATCCTCACTCGAGGACATTTTTCCATTTTTTGTTCAGATAGAGTGGGAGGGAGAGAGAGGAAGAAAGAGAGAGAGAAACATCGACGTGAAAGGGACACATCGAGTGGTTGCCACCCATACGACCCAACCAGGGCCGGGGACAAACGGCAGCCAAGGTACATGCCCTTAGCGGGAACCGAACCCGGGTCTCTCTGGACTGCAGGCTGATGCTCTAACCGCTGAACCAAACCAGCCAGGGCTACAGTTTACCACTCTTGCACTAAGGGAGCCCACCTGCAATTCGAAAACTCATTTTTAGCCTGAGTATTTTCAAGCCAAATTCCTGTGGAGTTTCTTGACCCTGCTCCCTGGTGGCTACAGACTCGGGGTTCAAGGACCCAGGCCTATGAACCCCATTTCTACCAGAGCCAGTCCGCTCTTTCTGCTTCCCACGGAGGAGCGGAGCCCTGGAAGGGGCACAGAGGAAATCCAGTGTCAGGGAAAGGAGGCTCCCCAAGTCCAACCGCAAGGACCACCAACATTGAATACGGCGAGTTGTGCAGGTCACTCCTTCTCAAGCAGCCCGCGCCTGTATCCGATGGCTTTCTAAATCTCTTCTAGTTCCAGGTAAAGGTGACTAAGAGCCTTGCGACCAGGCTCTGCCTTCCTTGAAAAACTGTTGACTGGAGAGTTCCAATAAAATACTCAAAACATGAGGCTCAAGAGTTATCACACCAAACACCTCATCTGTTAGAAAGTTCAAGTGTTCTCCATTTCAGTTGGCTACTTGAGCTTAATAAAACCTTTCCAAAAATGATAAATGAATGACAAGAGCCAGATGGATACATGATTATATTATTACAACATGACCTAGGCTGAGTTTTTCAAGTCTCACGTTCCAGAGCAGTACTGAGTATTTCCCTTGAAATTGTGCTTCACAGCGTTAGCCTTCTCCAAACATTATCTGGAACAGGCGAGATCCCCATGCATATGTGCATTTCGCGTAACACAGTCTGGTTTAGCAGAAAATAGGCACTGACTGAAAATCAGTGGATGGGAGATTTTGTCTCTGTTTTACCACAAATTAGCTCTGCAGAACTTCCACAAATAAATTTACCGGTCAGTTTTTATGGTCATCACAATACCAAAAACTAGAGCACTCAGAAAATTTAGTTTTCTGACTTGGAAACTACTTAAGGCGTGTCATATGCAGGGTATATCCTTGTAAGAGTTTGCTTCTGCAAGATAAGACTGCTATCAACTGTAAGTCTGGCGGGAACCCAAACCCAGCCAGCAGCTGCGTGGACCAACCTTATCACTGACGACAGGTGTGCAGCCACTGTGAATGTTTGGCACCGAGCAGAGCTGCAGGGTATTCGTCCAGTGGTGCATTTTTCTGTTTTCCTGTCTAATAACATTCCAGGTTAGACACGTCCACTGCTGGGAAAAGCCATGTGGTTTTGTGGATAGAGCATCGAGCAGAATGTTAGGAGGCTGGACCTCAACTCTACCCCTACAGTGTTCTGGGCCCACAAGTCTCCCAACGTCTTGGTACAAGAGGAACAATGGCAGGGACCCCCTCAGGCTTCCTCCTCCAGTGCACAGACATCTCAGGCTGGCTGGGTGCTCCTGAGCCAATGTGGGGTCCCGGCATGAGGATAAGAGACAAAATAGAGGAATGTTTTGGAACAACTCAAATGTTATGCTAGTGTCAACTGTGAGATGATGCAACCACACACGTGGAATATTTCATCTTCTGGGTAGCATATTCATTCATTCTTCATTCATTCATGCATGCATGCATTCCACCCTTCCCAAACCTAAAATTACGGCATTCAGTTCGGGTCACAAATATGTACTTTGTACAAAGCACCAAAGCAAAAGCCATTTCAGCGTCTAGCGCAGTGGTTCTCAACCTTCCTAATGCCGCGACCCTTTAATACAGTTCCTCATGTTGTGGTGACCCCCGGCCATGAAATTATTTTCGTTGCTACTTCACAACTGTCATTTTACTACTGTTATGAATCGTCATCGGACATATGTGTTTTCCGATGGTCTTAGGCGACCCCTGTGAAAGGGTCGTTCGACGCCCCAAAGGGGTCGCAACCCACAGGTTGAGAACTGCTGGTCTAGGGAGTAAAAAAAAAAAAATTTTTAACTAGGCTTTTGAGGCCTTGCCAAACCTTCCCTTCTATTTTATTTTGCACCAATTTTCCACTTGCACATTAAACTTGTCCACCTGAGAGGTTTGTCTACCTGTGCCAGCTGGCTGCCCCTGGCCCACTGGCCCCCGTGTGTCCATGCCCACACCCTATCTCTACCTTAATTCCCCTTCCTCCTAATCTCCGCTTAAGACTCTTCCGTCCCTTCAAGGTTCAGCCCGTGCTTCATTGCGAATCGGCCTGGGTAAGTTTTCCAGAGCCCAGTGCAGCTAAAGAAATACTCAATGTTGTCCCAAAGCCCCTCTGCTGCTGGGTAGCCAGATGCTGGACACGCCTTCCTAATGCCTCAGGGTCAGTACATCTCTCTTGGAGAGAGAGCTGGCATTTTTCAGGCACAGTCGGGATGTGTTTCTGCTAGAAGTGAGGAAGTGAGGGGTGGCCTGCATGTGAACAGAGCCAGAGCAGAACACAGCTTCTCTTCGTAGCAAGGACAAGGAGGGCTCCGAGGTATACACAATGTAAGGAGTGCCATCAGTTGGTGGGAAAAAATCATCACAGTGAAAACTACCTTGTTATTATTAAAATTCGAGCCCGTAGGATGTCCAGGACTCTCAAGAAATCTGTCTTGTTTTGTGTTTAATGCACCCTAGTGTTCGCCAATTAATAAGCTAAAACATCAAAGAAATCTTGCTGACAAGATCTCAGCCAGGTGGCAACCGGGAAGGTAGGAATAATGGTGAGTCCGCAGAATTAGGTCTCTGTCTCTGTCTTTCCCAGCTGTGCTCATCTGAGCTACTTGTTTAATTTTGATGATATCAAATTCCTCCCAGTACGGAAGTTGGATTAAATGTTCCAAGTGACCTTGTAATGTAAAAGTACATTCTGAATGAAATAGGACAATATTTAAATTGACCATTACTCTGAAACAATGCAAATAGACTTGTTGCCAGCTGATTTAGCTACAGAAAGCTATGGAGCCCTGGCTAGTCTGGCCCAGCGGTTAGAGTGTCGGCCTGCGGTCCAGAGAGACCCGGGTTCGGTTCCCACTAAGGGCACGTACCTCGGTTGCAGTTTGTCCCCAGCCCTGGTTGGGTCGTGTGGGTGGCAGCCACTCGATGTGTCCCTTTCACGTCGATGTTTCTCTCTCTCTCTTCCTCTCTCTCCCTCCTACTCTACCTGATCGAAAAGTGGAAAAATGTCCTCAGGTGAGGATAAAAAAAAAGAAAAGCACAGGAAAGAGAGTAAGAGAGCGAGAGAGAAAGGAGGGAGGGCGGGAGGAGGGGGAAGGGAGGAAGGAACGGGAAGGAGGAAGGACTGAAGAGAGACCTGTCACATAATCTAGTCCCTAAGAGGTTTAGACAAACCATGTCTGTTGTTTAAGTGTACAAGTTTACTTGGATCCTTTCTACCAAGTAGACCCAACTAAAGAGTCTATTATAAAAAGTCCTGTTTAAAATCCATTTCTTCAACAGAAATTTTACAACTTTGCAAAACTACGTCCACAGATGTCCACTAGCTGATTAGGGTCTGAGAAACCTGGGAGACCCAGATAGACATGCGGGCGTCGGCTACCCAAAGTAGCACTAGAACATTCTCAGTGGTTGTTGGGGGTACGGACTGTGGAATTTTGGTTTCCTTACCTTGAAATTTGAAAGTAGTTTAAGCACCTGAGGGTACATAAAGAGAGAAAAGAAGTATGGGTGAGGAACCCAGAACCGATTTACCTTCTATGAGGCTAGAAGGAAATTACATTTTAAATGTCTTTGTTGTAATTTTTACTGAAGAAATAGGATTGCATCTGGGAGACGGAGTGAGGGAGGCACGGAACACAGACCAAGTTATGTCAGAGGCTGTGCACACGGGATCTGGGATAGCTTGATCTTTTGTGATACACTCTACACTCTGCTCCACAGCCTCACTCCTTTTGGTTGTTGTTGTTAATCCTCACCTGGGGATATTTTTCCAATGAGTTTTAGATATGTGGAAGGGAGTAGGGAGGGAGAGAGAGAGAGAGAGAAAGAGAGAGATTGATTGCCTCACGCATGACCCCAGTTGGGGATCAAATCTGCAACCCAGGTATGTGCCTTTGTCCCGGAATTGAACCCAAGACCTTCCAGTCCACGAGCCAAGCTGATGCTCTAACTGCTGAGCCAAACTGGCCAGGGCCATCACCTCACTCTTGATGCCTCTCTCTACTTCTATGTTATACAGAAGGCGTATTACGAACAGCCGATGACATTACTAAGGCAAGACCAACAGAACTTTTAGTTACTAGAGACCCGGTCACCACAGGAGGAGAGCAAACAGGTTTGTCCATATTTTTATTTTATTTTTTTCCATTTTTTGTTCAGGTAGAGTGAGAGGGAGAGAGAGGAACAGAGAGAGAGAGAGAGAAACATCGACGTGAAAGAGACACATCGAGTGGCTGCCACCCGCACAACCGACCAGGGCCGGGGACAAACTGCAACCGAGGTACGTGCCCTTAGCGGGAACCGAACCCGGGTCTCTCAGGACCGCAGGCCGACGCTCTAACCCGCTGAGCCAAACCGGCCAGGGCTTGTCCATATTTTTAAATAGTTGTCCTGGAGTTGTTGTTATGACCCAACAATATTTAATGGGACCTGTCGCTGCAAGGAAACTGTGACAAAGTCTAAGAAACAGAAGCTAATACGTAGACAGTCCCTATACTTCCAAGGAATTCTTACTTCTGGGATATCTCACAGAAACAACCCAGACTTTGGGTTAAAGACATTCAAGCAATCTAGCAAAGCACCTGGAGTGTGAGTGTGATTGAAATGGTGAACCACACACAGGGAACCAAAAATGCAGTGGTTAGAAGGTTGTGGTGAATTCAAATGAGCCTCAGCTGTCCCAGCTGCTGACCTTGGGTGACTCTCCCCAAGGAGCCTCTGTCCCCTTAATTTTTAAATGGGGCCCATAATACTTATCTCACAGTACTTCTCTGAATATGGAGGAGATGTGTGTAAAATTGCTGAGCTTGGAGTCGGACACACCAGACGTGCCTAACAGCTGATAACTAGAAGCAAGCTGGGTGCTGCGATAAGGGTGGTCAGGTGGCATCCACTCTCTGGTTATTTCTCTGGAGGGAAGATGACTTCAGAAGAGCAGGTTGAACAGAGAAAGAAAGAGAGCCCTTGTGGGTGGGGTGGAAGCAGCATACCGCCTATTTAAAACGGGGTCATTGGCAAATAGAAACATCGAGAAAATGGAACAAGATAAATGGAAGCAACAAACTCGAACAAAAACCCAGAGAAGAAAATGAGACTAAGTGCTTGCAACTAATTGTTAGGCTTCTGGGTCCAATGACACAATCCAGTTTTCAAAATGATTTCAACATGAAGACAATGCGGTGGTGTCAAACCAGAGAGCAGTTAAGGGCCAACTACAGACACACAGTGCTACGTGCTGTGGATCCTAGAAATAACAGCCAGCATGGTGGGCCATTGTGCTCAGAGTTTTCATGCATTACCTGATTTGATCCTTATAGGAACCCAAAGAGATGGGTAGTATAGTCTTCATTTGCCCAAGAGAATACTAAAGCACAAAGAAATGAAGTAACTTGTCCAAGGCCGCCCAGCTGGTGAGAGGCTGAAACCCCATCTGGTCAATGCCAAAGCTCATATGCCAACCACAGCTGTAGTACCACGGAGAGGTGGACGACAGGCCCCAACTAACCTTAAGAAACAAGTGCTCCAGAATGATCGCACATCACCGAGTCCTTGACTGTGGGACATGATCCAGTGCACTATGTTATTTGTAATAATTAAATTCAAGAAAATTGTGTGGTCGTAGCAGTAAGAGGCCTCCATGACATAAAATGGCACTTGGGGACAGTGGAAAAAGGAATGTGCACTATGGACTGGATAAGGGAGAGGGTCATTCGGGTGAAGCATTCAGGCAACTGTCCTGGAGACTTCTGCAGACAGAGAATTTACTGGGACTGTTGAAAAGAGCCCAGATGAGACAGTAGGGGTTTGGATTCAGCTGGTGGCTATGGCACAAATCTAGAAATCGATAGCAGTATGACCTTTGGGGGACTGAAGTTCGTGTGTGGTGATGGCTCAGTGCCTCTCCTTTCTACTCACCATTCTTACATTTAAAAAATTTTTGTTTTTACATATTTTTATTCTCACTCGAAGATATGTTTTTATTGATTTGAGAGGAAGGGAGAGAGAGAAAGAGAGAAACATCAATCAGTTGCCTCTCATACGCATCCCAAAAGGGAATTGAATGCGAAACCTTTTGGTGTACGGGACCTGTGAAAACTTGTCGGGTAGTTGAAAGTAGGTATGGGAATTATTAATAGTACAACAGTATCTCTTAAGTTTTACCAGCTGTTGAAAGTTGAACAACAGCTCCTTAAACACAGTTAAGGAAAAGAAACCCAGTAAACAATCTAATTCCAGAACTGTATTTTTTAGACATGCTAACATGCATTCTGAATAGTTCTGAAATTTTATCTTTTTAGGATCCAGAAAACAACTTGACCACATATTCTCAGAACCAGGTATGTTCATATTTATGTGAAATGACAATCTTCCTGGTTTAATTATGTATTGCTAGCTCCAAATGCCTGAGAAGATTAAACGTGTCAATTTTTAAAACAAAAGCATACGTTGTTAACTTTAATCACACCAAATTGTAAAGGCAAGCAAAATATGCTCTTTTAAAAATTAAAGTAGGCATTTCTTATTTTCTTAAACATTTTGGAAATAGCAATACATAACTTGATAATAATTTTTTTTTAAGTTAGATCGTTTTATCTTTCTAACCACCGTGGTTACTAAAGAAAAGTCTCAAGAGCTTATAAAGCCATTGAACTCTTCATATCTCTACTGTCAGAGGGCAGAGTTTAAAATCACCTGATTCGTTGGCCCCATATCAAGAATAGAGACCATTCATGTCTCAATCCTGATTCATTTTTGGCCCGATGCTACCACTTGGGGGCTGCCTCCCAAGCCCTCTGTAACTGGGGACGGTCACTTTCCCCCTCTGAGGCTGCTATAGATCTGCCTTTCGTCATTTTTGTGCTTATTTACCATTCTGCATTTCTAAGCCTCCCTTCACACTTGGCCTGTGTCCAAACGTCACACCTACACACAAAATGGATTGTGGAATGGAGTCACTATTACATAAATAAAAGCTAAGTGGACAGGGAGGCTGGGCAATACCAGTGGGAGAAAGAGTTCCTTTTACTTCTTTTTAATCAATAATGAGACTTTCAAATGTGAATTAGCCAAATAAATAAGCCATGTTACCTGTATGTTTTGCCTTCTGTTTCCTTCATTTGGAGTCACTACAAATATATTATGGCCCGGCCGGTGCAGCTCAGTGGTTGAGGGTCAACCTATGCACCAAGAGGTCGCCAGTTCGATTCCCGGTCAGGGCACATGCCCAGGCTGTGGGCCAGATCCCCAGTGGGGGGCATGCCGGAGACAGCCAATCGATGTTCTCGCTCATCGATGTTTCTCTCTCTCTCTTTCTCTCTCCCTTCCTCTCTCTCTAAAAACAATAAAGAAAAATATATATATATATATACACATATATATAATGAATATGCAAGAGTGCCGCTAACTTAAACTTTGTTTCATTCTCAGCATGTAAAAATTTTGAAAAAAATATTTTTAGTGATTATATTATAGAGTGTGCATAAGGGTAAAGTAGAAGAAACAGAAGCTTAGAATATAGGTGACCTAAGTTATAGTCATGTTGCTTCTAACTAGTTGTCTCACCTAGGGCAAGTAACTTGAACTCATTAGACTTCTTTCCTTCATGCTTATATCAGTTTCCTACCAAAGCTCTGATTCTATGATCTGTCCAGTACCCCTTTCTACATCAAGACATGCTTTTCTCTCATCACTTTGAATCTGTGAGACACTTTATGGTTTTTCCCATATCAGAATAGAACGTTCACATCCTGCCATCCATAATGACGCCGGTGAGGCCCTATAAACAACACTGGGTTTGGAGTTGGAATACTTGGGTCTTGGTTCTGTCAGATGTGTGACCTTGGACAAAAACTTTACTATTCAAAGGTTCAGTTTCTCACACGGTTACTATGAAAAAGCCAGTTTTTTAAAAGATAAAACATATTAATGTTCTTTCTATAAAAAGGCAAAGTGATATTACCCTGATTGCGCCTGTTTTATTTTGCAATTGATATGTGGTCATATATTTCACACTTTTGTAATTTTCTGCTCTCTTTTTCTCCCATAGTGATCATAGCCATTATTTGGGGGGTGATGGCCGGTATCATTGGAATTATTCTCCTTTTTGCTATTTGTATTAGCAAACTAAGTAAGGTGAGAATTCAGAGGTTTTGTTTTGAATCCTAACCTGGGGCTATGTTTATTGATTTTAGAGAGAGGAGCAGAGCTGGGGGGGGGCATCAATGTGAGAGAGAAATATCAATATATTGATCAGTTGCGTCCTGTCTACGCCTGACCAGGGACCAAACCCGAAACCTAGGTGTATGTGCCCTGACTGGAATCGAACCCACAGCCTTTTGGTGTATGGGTTGATGCTCCAACCAACTGTACCACCTGTCCAGGGTGAGAAATCCTTTTTTCTTTTTTTTTGATTTTTTTTCTTTATTGATTTTTAGGGAGAGGGAGAGATAGAAATATCAATGAGAGAGAACATCAATTAGCCACCTCCTGTACGCCCCCAACTGGGGATTTGGCCCATAACCTGGGCATGTGCCCGGACCAGGAATTGAACCGGTGACCTCTTGGTGCAGGGGTCAATGCTCAATCACTGAGCCACACTGGCCAGGCGAGAATTCCATTTTTAATTTTGCTGTAAATACTGGTGTGAACGTCGATCGATAGGAAGGTTTATTCCTCTTGGTTCAATTAAAGTCACAGAGAAACAAAACCACATAAAAATACACCTTTTTCAGCTGGACACAGAGAAGTTACCGAGTTACTCTAGTGAAAAACATTTTTGCATTTGCCCTATAAAGGAACCTCCAAATATAAATCCATCCCCATTTTCCAATGAAAGATCCTCCAAAGTTTTTGTCTAACTTGGTTTAATATATTTTGATGGCTACCGATGAAATTATCAAATTTGTAATTACAGTATTCGAGTATAAAAAATATTTAAAATAACATGATATATTTATATATGTTTAAAGCATTTGCTTTTTTTGTTCTCATATTTTCTGAAACAAACTTTCACCCATGAATTTTCCAGCATGAGTGATTTTTTAATCACTAAAGCTAAATTTAAGTCCATATGACACAGCATTCCAGAGCACATAACCTTTACTAACCTTCTGTTTAAGATGTTTCAGAATAACTGTGCATGTGTCCATGATGCTGCCATTGGAACTGTAATCTTAGATCAGTAACTGTCTAGTCACAAAAGAATGGTACCGTTGAATTCTTATTCATCCTCTATTCTTTATCTATCTTTGTGATCTCTGTACTATAACCACTATATGTGTGTGTATATACATATATATGTGTATATGTGTGTATGTATATATATGTATATATATTATTTTTAATTTTTATTTATTTATTTTTTTTAATCCTCATCCGAGGACATTCTTCCATATTTTTTCAGATAGAGTAGGAGGGAGAAAGAGAGAGAGAAACATCGACGTGAAAGGGACACATCGAGTGGTTGCCACCCGCACGACCCAACCAGGGTCGGGGACAAACTGCAACCGAGGTACGTGCCCTTAGCAGGAACCGAACCCGGGTCTCTCTGGACTGCAGGCTGATGTTCTAACCGCTGAGCCAAACCGGCCAGGGCACTTTTTTTAATATCTTGTCGTTTTTATTGATTCTTTTAAGAGGGAGAGAGAGAGAAACATCGATGGGAGAGAGAAACATTGCTCTGCAGCATCCCACATGCACCCCAACCGAGAACAGAACCCGAAAGGTGGTTGGAGCAGCCTCCCATGCACAGTGGCGGGATTTTTCCTGGTCAGAGCACATACCCGGGTTTCAGGCTCCATCCGGGTCAGTCAGGGCGCATGTGCAGGAGTGGGCTGAGAGATGTTTTCTCCCCCCCACCCCTTTCCTTTCTCTAGAAGTAATTTTAAAAAATAAAAAGGCTTGTTCAGTGGGATAAAAACACTGTCGTGATGGGCCTATAGCAAGACTGATGGTAAATCTACACTAAATTCCTTTGCCCTTTTTTCTTCACTACTTCTTTTATGTGATGTAATCATCTAAAGCTATGATTATCATTGCTCCATGTAAATGGATCTTCTCTAAATAATATTTTCTTCACAAAAGCAAAGTAATGAAGTGTTTGCTCTAATATGAGAGATTCTGTGAAGACTTGATTATGGGCAGGCTCCTCTTGTGTGCAGTATAAATATTGAGGAGAAAATATCTTCTTGTGTTTGGACATAAAAGACAAACTATGCTGCTGTCTTATTAGTTAATGATCTAAAATCTGAAAAATGTAATGAAATACTTAGTTGAGAAAATCTTCTCTATGACTCTAGAAGAACTGGGTCATGGTCAATATGACTAAGAGATTTTACCTCTTATTAAAAATTTTTTTCCATTTTTGCTTTTTATTATAGCAGGGAAATGAGACAGAGGCGATGTTTGAGGTCATAATTCACCTATGAAATGACAAATACTATTCTACAATTTAGAAGTACAAATACAAATTTATATTAAAGTTTGTAAATATGTATGAAATAATGACTTTTTGAAGAAGAAGGAGGAGGAGGAGAAGGAAGAGAAGAAAGAGAAAAATAAGGGAAAAGAGAAGGGGAGGAGGAGGAGGGGAAGGAGGAAGAGAAGGAGGAGGAGGAGAGGGAGGAGAAGAGGAAGGAGGAGAAGGAGAAGGGGAGAAGGAGGAGAAGGAGGAGGAGAGGGAGGAGAAGAGGAAGGAGGGGAAGGAGAAGGGAGAAGGAGGAGAAGGAGGAGGAGAGGGAGGAGAAGAGGAAGGAGGGGAAGGAGAAGGGAGAAGGAGGAGAAGGAGGAGGAGAGGGAGGAGAAGAGGAAGGAGGGGAAGGAGAAGGGGAAGGAGAAGAAGAACTCAACAAAATGAGTTTTAACCAAAAGAGAACAACTTTAGCCAAAAAAAAAAATTTTATTTGAGGCCTTTTTCTTTATAGTGTCTTAAGTTTAGAAAATTTTGACATTAATATTCGTCTGCTTTTTACTTACAGAAACCTTCATTTAATGTCCAGCCTTCACTCTCACATGACACAGAAGCTCCTCTAACTTCTGTAGAAACAGAACAGCCAGGTTGGTGTGACTATTCTTATTGCCTATTAATGAGTTACTTCTTTCTGATTAGGGAAGGGTGTGTCCAAATAGGCTTCATTTATATTCTGTTTCATCAATGCTGCCTCTGTGAGATTTTTTTTTTTAATGTAAACATTGTCTGCAACACAGTGAAATTCTCCCTTAGGCATAAAGTATCTTTAAAAAAAAAAAATAAGACAAACACTGTAAGTAAAGCAAAAACCAAGTTCTTTTGTACACTTATTTTCCAGACTATAAAGTTATATAAAGGAGACCCTGCAAGGGGTATAGTTTAATAGCCCCAGATCTAGAGCCAGACCTTCAGCAAGTTACTCCTATGGAGATAATGAGAGTTAACATAAAGATCGTTTAATAGGGACTTAATGATAGTGTCAACCTTATAGAGTTTCACGAGGAATACATGAGCTACAAGTCCAGCATCTACAAGGGTTCATGGCCATAGTAGATACTCATGCCTGTTAGCTAGTATTTATACTGCAGGCTGCATTCCCAAATGACCGCCTCCGAACAACTGGCCAGTCATTTGGGTCCTTGTTTTCATTTTTACTCCTAGCTGCTAAGTAAATACACAGCATGTGGCGAACGCTGGGTATAGTTTGTTTCTCCAGAACAGTATTGCCCCACAGTGTTTTTTAAAAAGAGCGTTTACTGCCAGCCTTAAGAAGTGGGAGATTTTTACATTAATAAACATGCAGATGTTGGTACTCCCTTACAGAAGAAAATGTGAACGTGAATGATGCTGAAGCCTCCATACCAGCGTGAGAGCAATTCATAAAAGCTGCCTTGTATATTTATTAAAGTACCTAGTCAGTTTCACGTAGTTCATTCATTATGGCCTCTTGGATAACCTCACTAATTGAGTATCTAGTTCCTATTACTCTTTGCCTAAAGCATAAATGTAAGTGACTTCTGTTTTGGGAGATGTCTACCAAGATCAAGTCTCCGTGGAATGGGCTTCCCTGCTCAAACAGAAGGGTCTGATTCTGCCACTCCAACATCGATGCAAGGTTTTCCTATGATTATCATAAATCATGACAGAACCAAGATCCTGTCAATGTTCAGCTTTAACCCTGGACCAAGGCCCTGGTCTTCAAAGGACTTGCTAGGTTTTCTAGACTTTGGGAATCATAAAAAAATATATTATTTTAAAGGTCTACCAAAGCTACGTAACCTATTTGCAGGAGTTGCCTCATCACCTGGGTTGTTGAAGCTGAGTATTATTGTTACATAGTTACTTAGTCCCAGGAAGTTCCCGCTCTGTAGAGAGAAGGCATATACATAATTCTCAGCTATAAGCATTATTAAAATCCTATCTCCAGATACTTAAAACAACTTGTTTTGAATCATGTACCAAATTCATTTCATTTACTAAGATCAGTTTATTATAGGACTTGCAGCTGGAACAAGTATCTGTAAAAATATTTGTTTTATTTACTTTCTGCATTGTTTCAAAAAAAAGTTTTGATGCTTTTTTTTAAAATGGAGCAATTACCACCCAAACCCTAATTTTTTTGTTACGTAAAACTTTATATATCCTTTTAGCTACTTAATATTCTGGTGATAAAGTTAGTGTTTCGCATTCCCTCTGCTATTTTTCCCCCATACAATCTTGAGCTTCTCTGTGGACTAGAGCACAAAAGTTTGGGACAAAGTCAAACTGCATCAAAATATCCTTGTAAGTTTAAGTGCAACAAACATTTATCAAATACTTACTGTGTGCTGGGCACCAGTATGAGTCGCTGTCCTTTAGAAGCTGAGAGTCTAGTGGGAGACACATGGAGTGTTCATGGCAGTGAAGGTGTTTCAAGGTAGCAGAGGCTTCGGGAGATTAAGTCACCTGGGGCCGGTCTTAAAAGGAGAAATTCTTAGGGCAGGGTCTCTGGGCAGCATGCACAAAGGCTCGGAAGAAGACAATATGTGGGGTATCCAAGGAATGGTGTATTTCTACATTAGCAAGGCTAATGCTTTGGTTCTTTGTTCATATCTCAAATATATATGAAGGCAGTGGAAAGTCAGATGAACCAAATGTTAGGCTCATCCATTTCCCCATATCTGTGCAAATGAGGTGAGTAAATGTGTCTCAGTAAATTAGTGAGACAGGTTATAAAATCTGATCCCACCGCACAGGAAACGTTATAAAACACATAAGATTATTTAAAATGCTTTGTTCCTATCCTGATAGAATACTGCTCTGACATAATTTACAAACCAAAAGCGGTAAGAAATCAGAGTGATCATGCCATCTCACCAAGAACCAGAGATGTTAGGGTATAAAGTATGAATTGCTTTAACCTCCTCGAACTTGCACATGGTTCATTCTTGATGGGCAATGAGAATAAGTGCTGAGTCAGCTGCCCACGGTGGTGGCCACATGTGACTCCACCAGCCCAGTCTCTCTGGACAGCTTGGGAAGCACAGTCCCTATGGTGACCCAAATAGAAGAAAACAGGAAAATGTCCCGCTTCCAAAGAGCCCAGGCTCTTCCCATCCCTTCCACCACTGTCCAGGAGTAACATCGATCCAGCTTCCAACCAAGAGAGATGGAGCATTGGATTTGATGGAGGAGACCAGGGAGTTTAGTAGTGAGTTTGTGCACAGATTTCCTGTTTGTGTCCAGCAAAGTTATTCCCGAGAGAGGTACAGGTGAGGGCGCTCACCTTAACTTTTTTTTATATATATATATTTTGTTCAGATAGAGTGGGAGAGAGAGAGAGAGAGAAACATCGACGTGAAAGGGACACATCGAGTGGCTGCCATCCTCACAAACCAACCAGGGCTGGGGACAAACTGCAACCGAGGTACGTGCCCTTAGCGGGAATTGAACCCAGGTCTCTCTGGACCGCAGGCCGACGCTCTAACAGCTGAGCCAAACCAGCCAGGGCTCACCTTAACTTTTTGAAGTTACAACATAATGTGATTCAACTCACTTATCACTTACTGCCTTCCCACTATATTTTGTCTCTACGCAAGTTCTGTGTTAGTTCCTCATCTCTGTAGAAACCAGGAGCAGAGCAATTATGATTGTTTTTGTTTTGTTTTTTTAATTTTCTTTATTGATTTGAGGGAGAGAGAGAAACATCCTCCTGCATGCCCTCCACTGGGGATTTGGCCCACAACCTGGGCATGTGTCCTGCCTGGGAATTGAACCGGCGACCTCTTGGTGCATAGGTCGACGTTCCACCACTGAGCCGCATCAGCCAGGCTTATGCTTATTTCTTACCTAAAGCTCTTAGAATAGATTTTATAAGAAATTCTGTATCTTTACACATAACTCCAGCAAAGTCAATCTCAAAGGAAATTTTTTTCATTTCCTAACAATTATGTGTCAGAACAACACTGTAAAAATGTAGAATTCTGAAATTTATTTTATGCATTAATTTCCTATTGTTTTTAAATATAACTGCCTCATACTATTGTTTAAATATTTTTTCTCTATAATTCTTCTGCAGAACAGTAATCGATGAGAATCTGCTCACCAAGCCAAATTTGGAAAAAACTATAGGACATGAGACTTCAGTGAGGTGAAAAATTAACATGGAAATTGGACACGATAAAAAATTGTATACATCCCTAGACTGTACAATCGCAGGGTGACAATTTCATCATAATGAGCCCAGTGACTCGGTGATGGAAAATGCCTCTCTACTTGTTAATCTTTTAAAATGAAGAACAGCCCTGGCCAGTTTGGCTCAGCGGTAGGAGCATCGGACTACAGACCAGAGAGTCCTGGGTTCGGTTACCGCTAGGGGCACGTACCAAAAAAAAAAAAAGAAGAACAAATATTTTCTTTCATGCTTGCTTTTGTGTGTTAGCATAATGTTTATAGTTCATTGATTTGGAATTCTGATCCAACACTTCAGTTATCCCCGGTTCTGTAACACTGATTTATTCTAGTCTATTGTATTTTGATGAGTGTGCCGGCAGATGCAAGGCTTGTACTATCAGAGATGAAATCTAAGTTTTCTCATTCTAAACTTCTGAATCTATTTTTCATTTTTAAATAAATTAAATTCTATCATTTCCTTCATTGCTGAATAGTAGTACACTAATGGTGATGATGTTTTTAGACACAATAACAAAGTATATACTTGGAAATGAATGCCTTGCATACATACATATATACACACATTTTGTGTACATATACATAGACATAGATATTAAAAAATGACACTCACATTCATCCTTTAATGTATAAATCAATACAAAAAAATTGTTTCCATAAAAAAAGTGAAATGTTACATATGTATAAACAGCTCATTTAAATTTGTCTGACGTGGCAGTGTGAACTTCTCCGGGTCGCTGACTGATGCATTCCTTGCATTGCGCTGGAAGAGGTATTTATGTAAATGGCCAGAGAATCCTGAGAAAGAAAAGAATGAATACTTTTCCTTGTGAAAGAAATGTAATAACTCAGCAATAAGATGTGCAGACTTGACAGGCAGGTGAATATTTTCATAGGTCAACATTAAATGGCTTTTTGTTGTTCCCAATTAAATTTTTTAATCCCTCCAGTCCTAGATGTCCTTGTTAATAAGGTTTTGGAAACTGGTTTAAATAATCTAAAAGAAATCCCTCGATATGAGACTAAGGCTATGTGCCTATCCCACCGACACTCATTTGGAGTGAAAATTTAAAAAGCAGTATAAAAACAAAGAAGTACCTTCCTGTGATGTCCTGTTTCCACACTGATAAAAATCCATTTTGCTTTCTATTGTTGTGTGATAATTAAGTGAATAACATTATGTACATATCTGGGCCTGGCCACTTATATTTTTTAATAAATTGAAAAAAATCTAAATCGTAATCTCCTTGTATGTTCAGAGAATGTTCTTATACTAAGTTGGCTATTTAATTTTGCTGTTGTTGTTAATCCTCACCCGAGTATATCTTTCCATTGATTTTTAGATAGAGTGGGAGGGAGGGAGAGAGCGAGAGAAACATCCATGTGAGAGACACATCGATTGGTTGCCTCCCGCACGCGCCCGACGTGGGCCCGGGATCGAACCTGTGTTTGCTCGTGCAGATGTGAGCAAAGGCCTAAAGGAGGGAGAGCATGAGGGGAGAAAGGCGGAGGTATCGTGAAGGGAGAACGTGGGAAGCTGAGGGACGTGGTGAGAGGGGTGCTTTAGTGATATTCACATACAGTTACTGAGTAAAAACTTTCTGGTTCATTCTAAGCATTATCTTACCAGATGTAGAAAATTTCCCACAAGAATTTTTGTTGTTGTTGTTGATCCTCACCCGAGGATATTTTTCCTTTTTTTTAGAGAGAGCAGAAAGGAGGGAGAAAGGGAGGGAGGGGGAGAGAGAGAGCAAGAGAGACATAGATTAGTTGCCTCCTGCAGGTACCCAGCCGGGGCCAGGGGGACCTGCAGCCCAGGCACATGTCCTTGACCGGGAATCAAACCCGTGACCCTTGGGTCGGTGAGACTGTGCTCTAACTGCTGAGCTAAACCATCCATGATGCGAGAAACTTTTAAGAGCTAAACCATTTAAGCACAAACCAACACAAAATTCGAGCTGGTACCAGGCACATGCCTGTTCCACTTGTATTACCTAACAGTGACCAGGACAGTAATGGAGTCTACCCAGCTTTTAAAGAGGAGCAAGAGAAGAACCAGTTCCATAGAATATATTTTTTAAACATGTTTTAATTGATTTTTTTAGAGAGGAAGGGAGAAAGAGATAGAAATATTGATGAGAAACATCCATCAGCTGCCTCCCAAACGCCCCCTACTGGGGATGGAGGCCGCAACCCGGGCATGTGCCCTGACCAGGAATCGAACTGGGACCCTCAGTCCATGGGACGTTGCTCAATCTAGTTGACCACACCAGCCGGGCTCCACAGAACATATTGTAAAGGACACAGGAGACATAACTGAGGTTATTTTTCATTGTATCCTATGAGTCTTCTTCACTCAATATAAAACCATTATACTGATAGAACTGGACTATTTGGGGGCCTTTTAAAATTTATTTTTCAAGTACAGTTTACTAATATCATTATTAGTGTAGCAAAAATGTCTCAATGCAAACAGGCAAGGCACCCCCAAAGTGCGGGGTAGGCTCGAGGGAGGCATGAAAGAACAAACCTAGGATGCTTCTTCCTCCCAGACCGACTGTCTCCTCTGGCCCTGTGGGAGTCTGAGTGTTACAGTCATCAGACCTGACACATCCCACAGGCTCTCAGAGACAAAAACCAAAACAAAAACTAATGTCAAGGAGTCAGATGCCGCGTGGGACTTTGATGCAAGGAAGTATGGTGAGATAAAATCAGTTGGAACTCTATTCATTCCCGTTTGTGGAAGGACTTTCAAACGCAAAGCCAAGTGCCTAGGGAACAACTAACACTTCTGCATCCCTGCATCCGGGCAGCAGTGTTCGCGGTTCTCGCCCTTCACACTCTCTCGCTGCTATGGACCAGTGACTGATGTGTTTCTGCTGAACAACCCAAATCTCTAGGTTTCCCAAGTCCATACCCCATGTGGTCACTGCTAATCCTCAGAACTGTCGTGAGAGGTGAAACCCAATATTATTTTGGATTCGAAACACAATCAGCATTGATGAGGGTGCCACCATTGGTCATGTGACCTTCTATTTTCATTGATTGTTAAGAGGAAACTTAAGTCACACCAGAATAGCACTCTTGGTGGTAGACTTTGACGATCCCTTATTCCTTCAGGATAAGTAACCCATTTATTTTTTAAAATGAGACCTTAAGAGAGCAATGCCATCATCCATTTCAATGACTTGTATAGTAATCCACAATTTTATTAGGAAATTCTAGGAAAACCCTATATTCGGCATCCACTATATTGCCTGCTTTTGACAAAATCTGGAAAAATGTCTCCTTTAGGTCTTTGTGACTTTTTTCATCGTTCGGAAACATTTGCAGCCACTCGCTTCGCAAAGGGAAGCACAGCCGCAAACTCACGAACGCGCCTCAGCTGACCGGGGTTTCCCTTGCAGTCGGCATGACGTCAGACTCCATGCTTGCTTTCAGGTTCAGTGCCTATGGCGTGTGATGGTGGCCCCGGCTCGAAATGCAGATGCCTCTCCCACTTGCAACATTGAGCAGGTGTTCCTGGGGTAGGCAGTTAGACAGACGAGCAGAGCAAAAACAATGGGCCCGGTGCAGGTCACCAGGGCAGTACGTCCCAGACACTAGCGATGGGCTGAACAGGGAGAGCAAGTATCAGAGATAGTGGAGGGAACCAGGACCTCGCCCCTAAGGCACCCTCTCCTCCTCCAGATAGAATCTGCCCCAACCTTTTCTCCCCTGGCATGTAGCTAGTCAGGCAGTGGACACCCCTCCTCTTAGACCCTTGGAGGAGAACAAGGGGGCTGGAGAAAAGCCCCATCTGACTTCCACACAAAGACAGAAGATGCCCGACAGGCCCCCATTAACGCCCTCCCAGGGAATGGAAGGAGCCCTAGCCCACACCCCAGGGCCGCTCTTTTTTTTTTTCTTTTCTTTTCTTTATTGATTTTAGAGAGAGAGGAAGTAAGAGGGAGAGAGAGAGAGAGAAACATCAATGAGAACATTGATTGGCCACCTCCTGCATGCCCCCCACCGGGGATTTGGTCCACAACCTGGGCATGTGCCCTGACCTGGAATCGAACCAGCGCCCTCTTGGTGCAGGGTCGATGCTGAACTACTGAGCCACACCAGCTGGGCCAGGGCTGTTCTTTGAGCCACCTGCTGGAAACTTCCTTGTGAGTGAACTTTTTCTTTTCTTGCTGAATAAACCTCCTCTTGCAAGTTTGCGTCTTGGCTCTGAATTCTTTCCCCAACCAGAACTCAAGCACCGTGGTCTCCTTACACCACCTACGTTCCCATGCGCAGGAGAGACGGGTCTGTTCCCAGGTAGAACCTGGAAAGGGCATGTGGCTGCTGGGCTCGCCATCCACCCTAATCGACAGGCTCAGACCCTGGTGTGTGATGTTGTCGCCTCTCTGCTTCGTGGTCAGCAGTGCACTACCTTCGGGAGATGGGGACGACACACGGAATATTGCTGCTACCTGCAGACCATGTGGCTGATGGATGAGATACGTTCAGGCCAGTATCATGAAATTTATTGAATGGTAATTCTTGAAATCAAAATTTTATGCCTTAGTCAGGGAGAAACTGATTATTGCTTTTTAATAATACATCCTAGGATTTATATTTATTTATTTACTTACTTATTTATCCTCCCCCGAGGACATTTTCCCATTTTTTTTGTTCAGATAAAGTGGGAGGGAGAGAGAAAGAGAGAGAGAAACATCAACGTGAAAGGGACACATTGAGAGGCTGCCACCCGCGTGACCCAACCAAGGCCGGGGACAAACTGCAACCGAGGTACATGCCCTTAGCGGGAACCGAACCCGGGTCTCTCTGGACCACAGGCCGACGCTCTAACCGCTGAGCCAAGCCGGCCAGGGCTACATCCTAGGATTTAAAAGCTAACACCAAATATCTCATGCCATCTTCTAGGATAGAGCCCAGCC